AGATAGAGAGAGAGAGAGAGAGAGAGAGAGAGGGAGATAGACACTGCCATAACAAATATTTATACTTGCTACGCACATATGAGCATTTATACAAATGTTTATACGATGTGCTCGAGTGTATATGTGTGTCACGCACAGCGGCAAGAAAACGCGCAAAGGTGAAGGAACTCTGGAATGAAGCTCTCTCTCTCTCCTACTGATAATCGACGTCCATTCAGCACTATCAGCATATAAAGACTAGAAGCTACGCACGGGTTCGAGCCATTCGTTTCGGTTCGTTAATTATTCGGTAATAATGTCAACAAAATTGAAATCGAAATTGAAACTGAAACTGACATTGCGGGTCTGACGCCATGCCCGGAAAAATACATAAATAGCATCAGCGGATATACTTTTTTTTTATTGCACACATTTACCTTATAGAGCAATATATTTAATTAAATATAAGTGATAATTTGTGAAAGCTATAATGCAAAAAATTAAGTTCTATTCAGAGTGAGTCTAGAAGCCAAGAGAAGTTCCGCAACACTTTCTAGATTCAATATATTGAAGAATCGAATACAAAGTTTCTTTTCTTTTAAGATAAATTGAGTTTGATATCCAAAAAACTTTTCATTTAATCAAATATTCATCATTGTGTAGAATCGAGTTTGAATGCACTTTCTAGAGAAATAAATTGAATTTGATACCCAAAAAAAGTTTTTATTTAATCCCAATATTACACATATACCAGGGTTTTTTATTTAACTGAGTTTCAAACTACAATTAGTGAAACATTCATTTTGAGAACAATGCAAGTACAGCAAACAAAAATTCAGCTAATGCCATCATTTGAATTAAAAATTTTTTTTTTTTTTGTTTTCAACGGCGAGCAAAATTTCCGCTTGAGGAGAGATGCGAACTCGCCCAAAAAGCTCAGTTGTATTCATGGCACGAACTTTGTGCTCCATATACTATTTTTAGCTTGTGATGCCAGATGATAAAAAAAAAAAAGAAATGAGCTGCAGGAGTTGGCCTACATAAGGGATGCTGTTTGCTTCCTCGTTGCGGTCCAGTATTATTATAGCTAGGCATTGAGGGCCTTTCTCTGACTCATATGACAATATATTGCCAAAGTTGCTCTGTAGTACGACATCTATATAAATAATATAAACAATAGGATAGCTTGGCATATCATTAAATAATTATTTTTTACTCACTGTCGCGCATTGCCATAGCAACTCGACACTCAAAGCGGCTCTTGGCTGCATAAAATTATGATTGAAATCATATTTCTGCCATTCCAATGTGCAGCTGAGATAATCATGCAACTGAATGTGTGTGGCCTCCTGCTAGGCATTCCAATCGACATTATGGAGGCCGCTGTTGATGCCAACGACAATTCGTTCGATGTTCATGCTGACACCGAAGGAGTCGGCAGTAATTGCGAATGCAGTGAATGAAGCGATTACGATTACTAGCGGAATATTTGTTTATGTTTACTATTGGAATTATGGCAATGCTAATATAGGCTTTGAATATTGCATTTGTGTACAAACGTGAAACAAAATAATTATCCTTTGCGTAAACGTTAAAAAGGTATTTTTTAAATATTTTTTTTTACACCATATGAGATTTTTTATTCTCCTATAAGTTATTATATAATAATATAACTCTATCTATCCAATTTTTTTTTTTTTATTTATTTATTTATTTTATTTTTTTTTTATTAAATTTTTAGTAAAACTATATCATTTATTCATTTCATTCATCTCTTGAATATCGATTTATTTCCCTCGATTTATTTTTCGGAAACCGAAAGCTGGGATTGTCTAGTTTAGTATTGCTAAAAGTCATTAGAAATTTTGTGGAATTCCCATAAATTTTTAATTTTCATGAGCAGCACATTAAAACTGTATTTGGTTGAAAAGCTAAAACAATAAATTAAATAGTTTATTTTTATTTCAATAAACTATCTCTTAACTTTTCAACTAGCCCAAGGTTTAGCCAGTTGGCCAACTTTAACTGAAAGAGTTTTTGGCTAAAAAAAAAAGCAAACCAAAATAACGGCAAGCGGAGCTGAAAGCAATTTGCAAACAACTAGAAAAACCAACATGAGAAAAATACAAAAAAAAAAAAACAACTGAAAAGCTGAGAGATAGAAATTCAAAAATATTTCCTAGTAAACAAAAAGTGCCACTGCAACTGCAATTGCAGAGCCAACTGTAAATGCAACTGCAACTGCAATTGCAGGAAATTAGTATAATTGAGGCTGCTGCTGCTTTGCCTTGCTTTGCTTTGCTTTGGGTTCGGTGAGGTTCTCTAGTCTGCCGGTCATCAGTTTTCTTCCAGATGACTCGGCAATTGGTCATGGCTTAGTAAATTTCATTTAATTAGCCTGCCGGGTCCTTCTAGTGATGTCTCTTAGCTCAATACATGCAAATAATGAAATTTAGTTTAATTAGCAAACGTCACGCACATTTCGACAGAAGGTGAATTCTCAAAGTGAATTCATTAATTGAAGAGCATCCATAGAAATAGTTTGGGAACAGCTGCAGCCTTGCAAATGGAGTGGAATGCATGGACAAACGAGCTTCATACGTGCTGGCCTATGCCATTACCCACAGCTGTGCCTCCTCCTGGCTGCCCACAGTTAATGGGTCAAATGCAACAGTTTGCCCGTCCTTCAATGGCCTTTCGCATTGCAACGCAATTATCGATCAATAAACGTGTGTGATTTTAGAGTGTGTATCGATTAGTTGTGGGCGTGTTCGTCAGCTCCTCACCAGTAGTTCAAGTCGGCAATTAGTTCGCCGAGCTGTTGGCAGCATCATTTATATGGCAATTAAGCTGCGTATAATTCGAGTGACGTGCCATGACCTGACGTTGAGCTACGACTATTAATAGCCGAGACTCTTCCATCAACATTACGCTGTACGCTCCGCATACCACACAACAGCATAATCCCTCCGACCTTGAGAGCTGAATGCAGCTGCAAAACCAGCTTTGAGATGATTGCGACAGCGCGATTTCATTTTTAATGAGCTTAAGCACTTTTTGATACGAATTGCCAATGTAATCAAATACTAATCACAGAAATATAAATAAAATTCAATTAAAATAAAAATTGACATGAAAATAAAACATAAATCGACTCGGTTGTGGTTGCAGACGTAAGACCTTAGAGTTGAATATGATATACAAAAATAATCCCAAGTTTTGACGCTACTTTGAGTTACTCTTGTCATGGGTGGGACTAGTATATCACTCACCCATTCGCCAGCCCAAACAGTTGATTGTAGCTGACCTGCTTAGCAAGACAATCGCATCGCCGTTTGATGTTTTTCACTAGCAACAAATCCCATTTGTTTCCCTGTGTAGGAGTTTCAGAGCAACATCTCCACATCAAGAGTCGACAGGACGACAAGCCTCAGCCAGCAGGTTCGGGTCCATCAGTGGCAAAGCCAGCCTGTCGCACTCGATTGCCAGCGCGTCGCTTGACGTCAGCATGGCCAGGCCAGGCCCGGCATATATGAAGGGAATCGAACTGGCACCGTGCAGCGGCATGAGCCGTGCTCGCTGATGGTGTGAAATGACAGCACCATAATAGCCGTTTCACCCTGGACGTAGATTGATAGGTGCCTTGAAGTTTCTGTTCAGGTGTTGATTGCAAAAGCCTGCCAGACTGCATAACTTATGATGCAGTGTGAAGGAGATGCGCACGATGTGGAATGCATGGGCTAAGGGCCTTGAAAAGAAGACTGACATTCTTCACATTTTAATTTAACTCAAAGTCTGTGATATAAGTGAAGATATATAATTAATATTGGGATGATATTTATATGTTGTATTATTATTTTATTTTATATATTTATCTGTATATTTAAAAAAAATATATATATATTATTTAAATATATTTAAAAAATATATAAAAATAATTTAATTGTATGTTTTGATTGTATATATACATTTAAAAAAGCATTAAAAAAAAAAAAAATAATAATAATAATAATAATTTTAAAAAAAAAATGGTATTTTAGCAGTTTAAAAACTAGTCTAATTATAGACTCTTAAAAATTACTATGTCTTCTACACAGACAAGTATTTTTCACTTTAAAATGTTGAACTAAAATGTTTAGTATTTTTTATTGAATTTATTTCAATATTTATATGTAAAATATGTAATATATCTGTTTATAATTTCTCACAATTTTTGAATAAGAGAAGTTAAGAACAAGAAGGTTTCTAAAGCTGAATATAATATCTGCTGAAGAGTTTAATCTGAGTTTAAGATGCTTGAATATAACTATCTGCTCAACAATTTCGAAATATGAAACTAATACGAAAGGTGTTAAAATCTATTTATCTATCAAATTGAATTAATCAGAAAGGGCAAGCACTCACCCGATAGTTATTGATATGTCTCCATGTTGATCTCTATGAATCTATGGCCAATAGTCTAAGCCATCTTGAGTGCCCATCGAGAGGTGAAGCCAAACTAAGCTGCCGTCAATCGGCGCTTTCAGCCAACTTGCACTCGTTTCGTGGGTGGAATGCACATGACCGAGTTGCGAATTTGTTTCTGGCCGAATGCAGTTTCGCACAAAACTGACAAATGACGCAGAGGGCTGAGGAAGCGTTTGGTCCGGTGGTGCTTCGAGACGGCTTTACTAATTGATTTTGAGCCAGTTGGCACGTTTTTGGAGCCGTTCATTAACGGAGCCAGCTCCAGTCAACGCCAGTCAAGAGCTGGGCTTGGCCTGACAATAAGTCTAGAAAAAACAGACTCGGCAGGCCAACAACTTGAAACGTTGAACGTGCACAGCTTTGCAAAAAAAAAAAAGAGAGACAGAAAAAAAAACACACAACAATAATTTCTGAGGCTAGCCATACGCCGAGATGGCCTACAATGTGCCATTAAAGGTGGCCAATGCGGCCAGAGGTCTGCCATGAGAGAGCTAACAAAAAATCTTTGCACACTCTTTAACTAATGTTCCGTTCTCCCTTCTTTCCATTTGCAGATGAACGACAGCACATACAGAAGAAAACTTTTACGAAATGGATCAATTCACATCTAAGCAACACCCAGTGCACACCAGTTAATGACTTGTTCCTGGACCTGAGAGATGGCCATCGCCTGCTGGCCTTGCTCAGCACCCTGACACAAACTCAGCTGGTAAGTGCTATAGAATACCCTGTAACTAGAGAAAGTTGTGCTGGAATACCTTGTTTTGATATACCCTGAATGCATTATAATTGGAAAATCCAGCATAACAGACCCTGTCCGTCGTCTCTTCGTATGTCTGAGCTGAAGCATGAAGAAACCATTAACATAGGCACGATCAAACTCAGTTCACTGGATCTTCTAATCGGACACTCCGATTATCTACTTATTTATTCCGAATTGAAATTTCGACTCTGTTGTGTTTTCTACTATGATAGATTTTACTGATAAAAAAATAAATATTATGTTTGTGACTCTTGCAGAAACCCGAAAAGGGACGCATGCGCGTGCATCACATCAACAACCTGAACAAAGTGCTGCAGGTGATCCAGCAGCACGGGGTGAAGTTGGTGAACATCTCCAGCGACGACATCGTGGGCGGCAATCCGAAGCTTACGCTGGGCCTCATCTGGCTGATAGCGCTCGAGTTCAATGGCCAGCATCTAGTCAAGAGCCATTCAAGCAATGGCGTTGAGAAATCCCTGCTGGCCTGGGCGCGCCAGTACACAGAGCCGCACGGCTTGGCGCTGAATGATTTCGCCAGCTCTTGGGCAGACGGACGCGCCTTTCTGATGATACTGGCCGCCCACCTGGATGAGCTGGACCTGGAGCGGGCCCTGGCGCAGCATGCACTGCAGCGTCTGCATCTGGCCTTTGACCTGGCGCACCGGCACTTCAAGATCGAGAAGCTGCTGGATGCGGAGGATGTGCACACACACAAGCCGGACAACAAGTCCATACAGATGTACGTGATGTGCCTGTATCATGCCATGGAATCGATGCGATCCGCCGAGCGCGACCGAGTGCCCTGCACAAGCATCACAGACCTGGACGAGGTGCCGCTGGATAACGAGCGAGAGATCTACACCTCGGACAGCGCCAACAGCATGGAGCTGAAGTCGGCGGCCGAGGAGAGCTCGGTGCGGCCGCTGAGCACTGCGACCAATGTGAGCGTCGAGATCAGCAGCTACCAGGCGGCCTTGGAGGCGGTGCTGACGCTGCTGTTGGAGGATGAGCAGCTGCTCTCCCAAGATCTGCCCGACCCAGAGAACTTTCAGGCGGCCAAGCAGCAGTTTCATGAGAACGAGAGCTTCATGCTGAAGCTGACCGAACATCAGGAGTTCGTGGGCGAGGCACTCGAGGAGGGCAGCAACCTGATCAATGAGTCGCAGAAGAAGGATGGCTCCAGCCTCTCGCAGGTGGATCAGAATGAGGTGCGGCAACAGATGGTGCTGCTGAACGAGCGGTGGGAGACGCTGCGTCTGCGCGCCCTCGACATGCAGGCCAAGATTCTGATGCGGCTGGCCGAGTTCCAGAAGCAAAAGCTGGAGCAGCTGCGTCAGTTCCTCACCAATGTCGAGGATCGCATCTCGCACATGAGCGACCTGGGTCCGACCTTGGCCGAGGCCGAGCAGCAGCTGATGGAGGCACGCCAGCTGAAGGCGGATCTGTCCGAGCAGCAGGAGCTGGTGGATAGCATTAGCAGCATGGTGGTCATTGTCAACGATACCTCTGGCAATTTCAACGATCTGGAGGATCGACTGAGCGCGCTGGGCGAGCGCTGGTCCCACGTGGTCAAGTGGATAGATTTGCGCACCGAGAAGCTGCAGCAATACAAGTGCATCTCGCGCTGGCTGGACGCGCGCGAACAGGATCTGAAGCGCATGGAGAGCCGCGATGTCACCGACGTGGGCGGCATCACACAGCGCATCAACGAGCTGAACTACTGTGCCAAGGACCTGCTCGAGCTGCAGCGCTATCTGATCGATCTGCGGCAAATGGTGGCCGCCACGCTGCAGGATGGCGACGACAAGGGCGAGCGCGTACTCATGCAGCTGGAGAGCTACGAGGACCGCCTGGATGCACTCAAGCAGATCCTGGAGGTGCAAACGCAGCGCATCGAGTCGAAGGGCTTCAACTTTGGGCGTGAGCGGGCCAGCTTCGATGACAGTCGGGTGCTGCGGCCGGAGGGCTGGGTGGACTATCAAATGATTATACGCTTCGGCGAGGGCGAGGGTGAGGAGGAGGACGAAGATGAGCCCGAGCAGAAGCAGTCACAGCAGCAGCAGCAGCAGCAGGAGTTGCAGCAGGAGTTGCAGCATCCCGATCAGTTGGCCAGCAAGAAGCGTAAATTGCGCAATTCGGACAACTTTTTCGAGCTGGAAACTCAAATCCTGCAGCACTTTACACACGTGCAGGAGATGGAGCAGCAGATGCAGCAGCTACAGCGCCAGAGCCTGCGTAATCAATGCGAGCTGCTCAAGGAGCTGCAGGCCGAGAGCCAGCAGCGCGCCAGCTCGCTGCCCGAGCTCAAGAAGCTGTACGAGGTGTGCGAGCAGGAGGAGCCAGCGCGCAAGCTGCAGCTGGAGGCGGCCCAGATCAAGCAGCTGGAGCAGCGCCATGCAGCGCTGGCCCAGCGTCTGGCCAGCCAGCAGAGCGAGACCAGCAGCCTGCTGGCCAAGGAGCGCTACTACAATAGCCTGACGGGCTTCAAGCTGGTGCTGGCCGACTCCCGGGACTGGTACAAGCAGCACGCGGGCTCGGCCAGCTGCCAGGAGCTGGAGCAGCGTCTCAGCCACATGGACTCGCTGGCCAAGGAGATAGCTGAGGCGCGCGAGGCCACCGAGGCACTGGACGACCAGCATCTCGAGTGGAAGCAAGACTTTGGCATCTTCTACGACAGCTGGCACGATATGAAGCAGGCGCTGCAGGCGCTCATACAGCAGCGTGGCGGGGAGAGCGTTGCCCGGCAGCTGCAGCAACTGGAGGCTTTCGTGGGCAAGGTGGCCGCCCAGAAGGTGCGCGTCTCCCATCTGGAGGCCATGCAGCAGCAGCAGCAGCTGCTCAATCAGCTGGTCGACGAACTGGAGACGCTGAAGTCGAGCTACGAGTCGGTGCCCGCCCACATGATCAGCGAGGAGCTGCAGGCCGCCTGGCAGCGGCTGCCGGAGCAGCTGAACGAGCGGGTGATCAAGCAGACCACCGCCATAGAGAACCTCAACCACTTTGTGGCCGAATACAATTCCATAATTGCCGTGCTGCGCAGCGCTCCACAGGTGCTGCAGGCGCAGGATCTGCGCAAGCTGGAGATCGATGTGATCAGCGCTCGGAATTTCAGTGAGATTCTGATCAAGGAGGCGGAGCCGGCACAGCGTGAGTCCCTGCAGGCGCAGATACGTGCGCTAAATGCCCTGTACGAGCAGGTGGAGCAACTGCATCAGACACAGCTGCAACAGCAGTCGGCACTGGAGTCCCAGAGCGATGCGATACAAGCGCGCCTGCAGCAAACGGAGCGCTGGCTCAACGAGCTGGAGGCGAACACGCCCAAGTCCGGCATTGCCGAGATACGCAACTCCAACGAGCTCTTCCAGAGCAAGTCCAAGTTCCAGACTCTCAAGGAGACGTGCGAGCGGGAGGCCAAGCAGTTCCGAGAGCTCAATGAGCTGGGCGGCGAGCTGCTGCTGCAAATGGACGAGCTGCAGAACAAGGAGAAGGACTCCAAGTACGGCTCGCTGGCCAAGCAGTTCACCCACCTCAATGCCCGCTGGACGGAGGTGACGGAGCGGGTATACACCAAGACGGCGCTGCTGGAGCACATCTCCACGCAGCTGGGCGAGTTCAAGAAGTTTATGGTCAGCGAGACGGGCTACCTCGATCGGCTGGAGAACAAGATACGCAACACGCCCGAGAATGCGGCGGATGCTGAGGAAATCATAGAAGAGTTGGATGTGAGTGGGTTTACATTAAATATAATCAAGATGTTCATGGAATTCTCCTTCTTTTTATAGGATCTGGAGAACGTGCTGCGCTCCCATTCCGACGAATGGCTGGACAAGATTCAAGAAATTGGCAACGAGCTAATTGACAATGAATTCATGGCCGATGCCATGCGTAAGGACATTGATGGCATTGTCGAGCGCTGGACACAGCTGCAGCAGCAGGCCAAGAAGCGCACCGAACTGCTGGAGGTGAAGGCCAGCGAGGCGGAGCAGTCAGAGAAGGCGATTGTGCATCTGGAGAGCTGGCTGACGCGCATGGATGAGATACTCAGCGACCATCTGGAAAACGATGTGACCATTGAGGATCTGCCCGATGATTTCCAGGTAAGAAGTCAGACATGCCCAAGCAGACAATATAATCCACGCCATATAAATCCACAGGTTCTGGCACGTGAGTTCGCCATAAATGAACAGAATTTTAAAGACATAAGCACACTGATAGCGGAGCACACGGCCAATGGCAAAACGGGCGCCGCCAATCGGCTGCAGGAGCAGCTCAACCTGATGGAGATGCGCTTCAAGGCCTGCCAGGCGAAGCTCAACAAGTGCACAGCGCCACAGCCCGCGTACGAGTCGCGCCTGAATCGCGCCTACGGGGATCTACGCAACGTGGAGCACTCCACGCTGGTGCTGGACGTGGCCTCGGCGGGACCCAGCACGGTGCAGGCACAGTACCAGAAATGCCTGGTATGCTAGACCGAATTCCCATTGCTTGATGAACAGATTTAATATTCCAACTTAATCCATAGCAAATCTATCGCACGCTCTCTGAAATCAAGGCGGATATTGAGAGCACCATCAAGACGGGCCGGCGCGTGTGTGAGGATAAATATACAAAGAGTCCCAAGCAGTTGAGTCAGCGCATCGATGCGCTGAAGCATCTGTACAATGCGCTCGGCGAGAATGTCACCCAGTCGAAGGCCTTCCTCGAGGACCTCATCAAGCTGGCCAGACAGCTGGAGCTCTGCTTCGATGCCGCCGATGAGCTGATCAGGCGCTTCGAGTCGCCCCAGGAGGTGCACGATCGCAACTCCATACTGCTCGAGTTCGAGGATGTGCTGCAGCGCTGCGAGCAGCACTACAACGAGTACAGCAAGTCGTGCGACAAGAGCTGCATGCAGGACACACGGCAGCGCATCGATGGCCTCAAGGCCACCTACCACAGGCTGACCAGTGCGGACATCATCAAGCGGCTCACCGAAATGAAGGCAACGCTGCAGAACTTGGACAACATTTCGATGGAGACACTCAAGTGGGTGGCTTTCAATTTAATTATTTATCAGAGCAGAGCAGGGCCGAGAGGAGAGAGGAGAGGATAGCTGAGCAGGGCTGAGCGGTGTAGAGCGGAGGAGAGAGAAGAGGCTATCAGAGTAGAGTGCCTTCATTAAGTCGATGGCTTGGCAGGAGCTGATATCTGATATAAGAGCAGCTTTCTGACTTCTCATTGAATAATTAGTTAGAGTGTGTAGGTGGCCATCTGAGTTACCCAAGTATTTAATTATTACTAGGGAACAATTTATAAATTATATTCATAATAAGTCTGGTTTGTGCGAGCATTATGAGGCTTCAAAATTTAATTACAACATGTATATATTGAATTCCTAGTCAGCTAGCTCTACAGTTTGTTTGTTTGTATCGATATCTGTTAGCTTCAATGCTTCCTTTCAAAGATCTGCCTCTGCTCAAAGCTGTTATAGAATCCCAAATCATAAGGCTGTCTTTTAGCTTTATAGCTTGAACAAATATGATCAAATCTGTCTTTGTATACGAAGATATTTATATCGAAATGCATACCTAAGTCGAATCGCCATAGTTTGTTCTCCTTTAAGTCAAAAATCTCAGGATTTTGTAAATTTCCATGAATAGTTTCCATGGAAATAATAGTATATTTCTTAGAAATTTAAAATTTGTCATGAAGCCCGTTACAATTCGCCAAGCAAGGAGAAGTAAACTGTATATTCTTTTAAACTATAGTGGAATTTTTCAGACAGTTATCATTTTGTAAATATTTATTATATATTTTGCTTAGATTTCGAAGTGTTAAATCGATCCATAAAAATCAAATGAATGTCAAGCAATAATGTAATATCTGAGGTAGTGAAACAATTTCAAGTATTTCCATCAACAATTCTATCAATTCTAAACAAAACAAAAGTAATATAAACCGATTTTCCTTGTATTATTTGCAGAACCATGGAACATGATCTGAAGGAGATAAATGTGCCATCGAATCCGGAAATTGAAAAGTTGCAGCAGCAGGTCATTGCAATTGTTGTGGTGCGTAGAAAACGAATGCCAATTTAAGATGTTCGAGCTATCTGCACTAATTACCGAAATGCTCTCAAGATAGAGATCTGTATATAATTACACTAGGCTAATGGTTTTTGTTGTCTGTTTGAATGTGCTCTCGAGCTACTTTCTGTGTATGCACTAATAATTTAGCTCAGGATTCGCTTTTGCTTTCATTGCATTTCATCTCATTTCATTTCATACACACTGCATATATGTTGTGTGGTTGATGGTTTTTCCTTTTCTTTGTGTCACCTTTGGTTTTTATTTATTTTATTTTTGCACTCACACACACACACATGCATAGAGCTGCCTGCGCCAACTGCGCTTTCCTTGTGCACTCACAAATAGAATCGAATTTCTCATCTTTGATCACATTCGCATTCGTATTCCATTTGATTTCGTATCGAGTCAAGCCTTAAATACAAAATAGAGAAAGCTTTAAATTAAGTTGCAAACTAATCTTAAACTAAGATCTTATTATAACTGATTTAATCATTGTAATGCTCTATCTAAGCGGTGCTTTGCCATATACCATACCATTGTATCATTGTACTATGTACCCCGGTACATTGTTATTATTTATTTTGTTTAAATACATTATTATTTATTTGCCACTTCACATGCCACACCCATTCAATAATAATAATAATCATAATAATAATAATAATAATTATAATAAAAGGAAAAGTATAAAAGTCAATACATTCGCAATAATCTTTCCACCAAGCTAATCAAGAACCAGATTTAAATTTACCAACAACCATCACCCAATACAACCACCACCAACCACTACATACCAGAATCACCGTATCACTAGCTCTACGAGGTCTAACTTGGTGTCATTTTCACGCTTCAAATTTCCAATTGTATACATATTTGTATGTATGTATATATATATCTTTGTTTTGCGTTATTTGGATTACTTGTTACTGTCCCTCCTCCACCCTCCACCATCCACAAAGTAAAAAAACATTTCAAAGGCGTTCAACTGTGGTTATAGTCCAATCAACACATCCCAACAAGAACAACAACATACTCGTATGTCCATGGCTATCTGCTACTCCTCTCACCAACGCTTCTGTACAGCAACTGCTTTTGTGGGGCCAATGGGGCCGCATAGGTCGCGACTAAGGCTTCACATGACCATAATACTTTAAGGCGCTGCGAGTGCTTTGCTTGAGTAGAGCTTTATTAAATTCTGTGAAAATATGCATCCTTCGCACAGGATACGCTGAGAACGCGCTTCGACGAGACATCAACGCTGGCTGCCCCCGTCGATGACGATATGGAAATTGTGGTTGTCAGCGATACAGTGCGTCAACGACGCGCACGTACACCGCAGGCCGGTGAAGCCGGCACGCCCAACACAAGTCTCATCGCAGACTCACCGCAGTCAGCGAAGGCGGGCGCCCAGCCGGGCTCGAGCAGTGGTGAACAGGTGCTGCCTGATTTGCTTCCACCTCAAACGTTTCGTTTGGCTGAATCCAGCACACTCTTCTCGCAGATATCGATGAATCCGAGCAAGGCAGCATTGGACGCGCCTCCGCCGAAGCCGGCGAAGAACAAACGCAAAGCGCCGGCAGCACCCGCTCAGGTGGTCGAGATAAAGGTGAAAAACATTCAGAATGACAAAATGTCGGTGCAGAATATTGCGCTGGAGCCGCAGCAGGGTGAGATTGTGGACACGGTTAACATTTTGGAGAGCGTGGAGCCGCTGCTGCCGGAGTTTGTGCAGACGGTGCAAATAGTGGATTTGTCCGAGGACTCGGATTCCTCGCTGCGAGTGGATGCAAACGGCAAGGAGGTGCGACGCAGCAAGAGCAAGCATTCGCTATGCGAATCGCCCGGGGCCAAGGCAGAAGAAGGCACAGACGCAGATCCGAATACGGATGCGGATGCGGATGCGGATGCGAATGGAGAAGCCATGCTGCGTCCTGCTGCGGGCAACACCAGCACCCCGCTGCTGCGCGTGGAGAAGCAGCGCATATCCTTCGATGAGAAACGCAAACGCATTGCCCATGAGCGTGACATACTACGCGACTCCGAGGAGGAGGAGGCGCCACAAAGTGTGCCAGCGCCCACTGGCAGCGCCACAGCAAATGAACAGCGACCGAAAGCCAAGCGCTGGCGTCAGCTGCAACCAGAAATGGAAGCTCTGACACCGGACACGGAGCCCGAGTCGCCCATACGCAATAGTTTCTATAGCGCCGACAAGGAGACAGGTTTTGATATTGAGCCGTTGGTATTCTCCGACGATGAGGAGATACCGCGCTTCTCGCTGGAAATGACACCAACCTTCGACTCCGATAGTGATACGGTAATTTGGTAGAGCTTGGATCATCGATTCTATTTATTTTCGCCCCACCTTGTTTTCTATGTCTGTCTTTTCTTATCGATCAACGCAGAGCCGCATTGAGACGCCCTCCACGAAGAAGCCGAACTCGTTCCTGAGCAAGGTGCTCCACTCAATGCCCTCGCCCCTCGACGACTCGAATGTAACCCTCAAGAGTCCGCCCACTGAACAGCCAGGCAGCGGACCCAGCAACTTGGCTCAACGCGTTGAGGACTTCAATAAGAGGGCCAAGCAGATGATCTACCAGCTGGAAATGACCAAGACCAAAATCGCGCAGTGTCCCGAGAGCGAGGCGTAAGTCTGAATTGAATTGATGATTAAAGATGTTGCACAATTTATTTTCGTTTATTTTTTGCAGCGAGGATCTGCGCATGCTCATAGCGCCAGATGCGGCCACTCTGATCTCACAGGGCGATTCCCTGGTACTGGAGACGCATGGCAAACATGGCAGCATCTCGCGTCCAGTCATGCGCACGCAGATCTTGCTCAGAGAAAAGTTCCGTGAGGTTCAGCAGGCCAAGTAAATAGCGTTTTTCACTGAACTCTTTCCATTTACTAAGTCATTTTCTTTGCCCATATTTTTAGGCCCAAAGCAACCGGCAAGTCCAGCACTGAGTCCAGCAAAGAGCTCGAAAAACGCTTGGAGGATATCAACGTAAGTGTGACCAATATAATTTTACGCTGGCTTCTATCCAAGAGGCTAAACATGTGGTCAAAGAATGACGGCTAATTGTCCGTGACTAAAATGACTTGAATAAAAATACCCTGTAGCCTGAGTGGCCTAAGCGGGTCTATATGACTGCGTGTATTCTAAGTCTCCCAGAATCGTGATTTTGAAAAGCAAAGCTATTATATTTTACTTATCTGGTATATCTATTCTTGGTCTGCACTAATATTTAGATGATTTCGCTTTGTTTTCCTTTTAGTCTGTCGTTCTCTCCGCGTATTGTCTCCGCCTTGTCGTATGGATACGATGCATAGATACATAGGTACATAGGTATATAGATATATAGATATATGGATAAGTAGATATATAGATAAATAGATATATAGATATATTGATATATAGATATATAGATACATAGATACATAGATACATAGATGCATAGATACATAGATACATAGATACATAGATACATAGATACATAGCTGCATAGGTACATAAGTACATAGGTACAGATAGACACTTAGATATATATCTAGATAAATCGCTAAGATTTTTAAATAAATTATAAACCACTCATAGACTTTTACAGGGTATTTGCTGACACAAGCAAAGCAAGTCAAGTTTTTGGTTTGTCTTTATTATCGCCGTGCGCAATATACGTATATATTATGTATGTCTATATTTTGCATTATTTGCGTACTAATTTAGACATCTTTGAAGGCGTCTGCGTTTATTTTCGCTCTTGCGCCAACCACAAGTTAATTGGCCTCTTGAGAATTCAGAGCAACGGCACAGGCCGCCAAACAAAACTAAATGCTGCCATTAGAAATACCCCAAAATAAACCGAAAATTTTGACATAGTTACACACGGTCAGCTCGAGACATCGCGTCGTGCGCTCCGACATTAACAACATCAACAACAACAGCAACAACAACAACAGCAACAACATCTGTAACATTCATATATATTTATGTGGCGGCAATTCGTATTGGGGAAACAGTTAAAGAGAGAACTTAAGAGATTTTTTTGTTTGCAGCATGCACAAGTGTTGATCGACATATGGATTGTTTAATTTTGTGTAGTGTCATGTTTAATACAATAAGGAAATTTGTCATAAAATTTAGAAAACAAAAATACGCAAATATTTGTATCAATTTCAATAGTAAATTTATGAAAATTTGTTCTGAGCTTTATAGTTTTGGCATAGATATCAATTAAATTGCTCTGACTTTTTGAATATTTTTTCTAGCAAATAGAACTAATATAATTATGACTATTCAAGAGCACAAGTTTTGCTAAAACTATACTTGATTTTTTCCTTTAGGCTTTCAGGAAAAAAAAAAAAAAAAAAAAAAAAAAAAATTTAAAATATATTTTTTTGGAATTTAGCTTTGCTTAAAGACTTACAATCGAGTATCTGAATCTAATTAAAATTAAGTTCAGTTATTTGCTTCTTTAAAATTGTCCACAATTTCACTTTACGTCTAGTTTTAATTGGCTTTAAAGTTTTCGTTTAATTCATTTGACAAATGGTCTTATTTCCCGTCACTGTGTGAATTAATAAATATAAAAAAGTCTCCCCATTTCGACAATGTCGATCCCAAAACAATGACACGGCCTAAAATCCATCATTAATCAATTCGTGCATGGTTTGTTTATTTTCGTTGTGCTTCGTGTTATTTTTTGTTTGCCCGCTGGCCCCAAATGACAAAGAAACAAATAAAAGCGAATCGAGATGGAAAACTGAAAACAGAAAAGTGGGAAACCTATTTTTAAAAATAGCATTTCGAAGAGCGCAACTGAAGAGAATTTTCTTGCTCCCTTTGCGGGCGGCGTTGATGCTTTGTTGTTTTTTTGTTTGCTTCAGTCTGTGCGCGGCTAAAACACGCAACGGTCGCACCGCTTGAAATTCATTTCGTAATTAATTTGATCGAAGTGCATCGCGGAAGTTCGCTTGGCGCCAAAATTGTTTGCTCCGGGCGTTCAAATGCAATTTTGCTGGTTGACCCAGTCCGTCAGTGCGGTATACGCAGAGAGCCCGCCGAGAGAGAGATAGACTCCCACAGTCACAGTCACAGCCACACAGCCTCACACATTGCATCGAGGAAACACTTGCATGCAATATTCGTGCCCGTTTACAGCCGGAATTGAATTTCAGTCGCGTCCCTTGGCCCTCCTCCCCTTCCATCCGGCAGTGTCAGTTTTTCCGCTGTGCGTGCTGTCATTTCCACTCAAGCATTTTTCCTTTCTGCTCTATTTTGTTACCTCTGATCGCACACTGATAAGCGATACGTAAATTGAACGGCTGGTTAAACTCTATTCGTAGGAACGCCACGACGATCTGCAGGCCATTGTTGGCGCCGTTGGCCAGAATAGCCAAAAGCCAAAGGTTACGCCTGTCATGATGAACGAAATCGAAAAGGTTAAAAGCGCACTTGTCGCCCGACTAAATTATTTTACTAACACGGCTTACACGACTTTTCTTTTCACATCTACTTTATTTCTTTTTCTTTCTTTCTTTTGCCACAGACTAAAAACAATTTGATTGCTCATGCCGATAGTATAGAGCTCTCGCTGACGGAATTGAAAAATGTCAACCAAATGGGCAATGGGCATGGCGCCACGAACAGTCGACAGGGTAAGTGATTTTTACTGCTTCTGATTATGGCTTAAACGGGTATATTAGCTTGGGGCAGATAGGTGTAGAAAAGGGGATAATACTTGCGATCAATAACGATATATTTGTAGAGCTGTAACTGTAATCATAAGAGCTTGGAGTCTATATGTATTAAGGACTTTATAAAGATGTAGAATTTGCTAAGATATTTTTTTAAATTATTTAATGATAAAAGCTTGAAAATTATGGCAAGCAAAGGCAGATAAATATTTTATAAAGTCTGTTGAGGTGATATTTAGCTCTTGGATATATCCCTAAAGCCTCGTTTATATAGGAGTTGATATTTAATGCCATAAAAAGTACATCAATCATATCAGATGTTCATCAATAATTAAAATAAATATTATATATAAAATTTACGTATAAATTCAGCTTCAAATTGAAATTTTCCACGTTTGAGCTTGATTATAAAAAATGCAATTATAAATATAATATTGAATTTCATATGAATAACTCGTATTCATTAATCCAATTGGGGAGCCAGAAGCGAAGCACTTCAAGAGGCAAATTCCAAAAGAAGCGAATAAGCACGAGCGCATCATTGAATTTGCTTCATTATTGTTTTTACACATTTTTCGCTTTGAAAGTTTTTGATTTCATTTCAATCTCGGCTGCAGTCGGCAATATTTCGATGCATTTTATGGCGTTTTTATGCGGGCGTACTCTTCTGCCCGCCGGACTCTACTTCAAATATTTATGCCACACGTCGAAATCGCAGCGAAGCAGGGAGAAGGACAAAGGGCGAAGGGCATCCGAAACGAACTTTGGACATTTCATCTGGATGTGTGCAGATGCGCGCATCTGGACAAATGTTGACGCTCCAGACTCTCTAGTTCCCTCTGATAACAATCCTCTTTGTATATTTAGTGAAAACAAAAACATTGCTTAGAGAATTGAATGGAATGAAATGAAAAAAATGTAACTCTTGTTATATTAGGGAGAATATTTCTCAGCCACATTTATTGAGCGCTTGCATCAAATAGTTGCATTCCATTCCGTAAATAACGAATGCGCCCTCAAATCGGATAATTGCAGTTCTGGAGGCGCCTTCGCTAATTACTGAATGAAATGTTTCGGAAAGGTGGCGAATTGTCGGGTCGTTGGTAGCTCGGTGCCAACAATATTGACCTTCTTTTTGTGGCATCTTTCTTTGGGACGATTACTTGAGAATTTTCTGTTGGGCTGATAGTGAATTCCGTAACCTCTGGATAGTCCTTCTCGTCGTTCAGAGTATGGCGAGGAGTCCTCGTTAGTCCTGAATCTTGGATGTATTTCTCAATCTCATCATTGCACCTCTTGAAAATAAGGTGCTCCGAATCGATAGCAGTCACCGAAACTACATTGGTCATTAGGCTATCGCACATTTTCTTACCATTCTTGGCTATTGTGAATTCGGCCATATTAAATAAACGTCTGCGCTCTTTGAAGCTCGGTCCTTGACTATTTACTGAGGCTCTGGATCTGAGTACATCTACCCGCGGACAGATTATGACGACTTTTTTCCCAACTCTTACATGTTGCGTGAAGCCCGGCTGGGAGCAGTTGGCTGGCTGTTCAGGCGCCTCGGCTGCTTCAGATGTCTCCGAGAATGAGTAGTGGCCTTTCCGGCGTTGGGAGTTCGTAGCTGGAGTCTTCTTCTTGCTTATAAAAATTTGAGAATCTTCTCGGCGTTCGCTCTCTTCCTGGGCATCCATTAGACGCTGCCGGAGTGCATTTAGACTTATGGGTTCATGGTGCCCTGGATGTGGTGTCACTGGCCGCAAGCTGTGCAGTAAGCCGTAGTCACGATCAGTCTCCAGTCTAAGGCCACTTAAATCTGAGCTGAATGAGAGATGTCGCTTATGTTCGAATGATTGGAATGAGTTAGAATCCATGGAATGAGAGGTGTCCATCCTGAAAACTCTAGCCGACCTAGCTTTGGACTGTACAGAGCCAACAAATAATTAACGAACAAATCTGTTTTTAATTCTTTTTTATTTGTTAGTTTTTTTTTTTTTTATGTTTTTTTGTTTTTTAGATTTTTTTTCTGTTTTAGTTTTATGTTGTTGTGTGTTAGAACTATTTCAAAATCTGAACTGCTTGCCCGGCCTACTTAGCACAACAGATTCTTTGAGCGGCTTGCAAAAGCTGAATGCTACGATACCCGGCGAAGCACTGTGCGTCAAATGAGGCATTTCATTTCGGCCACGTTTATAAATGATCGCTCACACCAACAGGATGCCAATGCATTCGTTGAATAATGAAAATGCCTGCATCTTCCTTCTTCGATATGGAATTTGAAGGCACTTTCACTTTTCAGTGAATGAAATCGCTGCTTGGTGTTTACGATTCTTTTTTGAAGTCGACGCTTGACTAAATGTTTCATGGCTCGTGTCTGAAGAATAATCTGAAGGTCCCAAATTTTTATTTTTCGATAGGTTTACGATCTCATTGCGGGAGGTTTTCGTCAAACCCTTAGCTTGAATATATTCTTCAATTATGTTTTGGTATGTTTCATCAACTTCATACTTGGGCGCCAGCTCATCATTCTGTTCTCCCATTTGGATGTCCGACATTTTTTTACCGTTTCTAGCAATTGTGAATTCGGCCATGTGAAATTCTCGACGACGTTTCCTAAAGCTTTCCGTTGAAGCTTCTGATTTTGTGAACCTCTGTATGGATACATCGGGACAAATGATAACCTTTTTTTTTCTTGGATGTCGTTTCATATGCTGCTCGCTTGAAGAAGCATTGGTTAAACGTCTTATTAAATTTCCGGGATTCAGAACAATATTCTTTTTTGGGTGTGGTGTGCCGACCGACATAAAATCCGAAATTGTGCTTCCGCTGGATGGATCCTCCAGGAAGCTCGTACTTCTAAGCACACGATCCTGGAGACGGTCACTTATGCGATTTATGGGAAGTTTGCTTTTCACGATATTATGTAGCTCAGGCTCAAGTGATCCACTGTCGTGAGAAGGCATTACTAAGTCTGGTGTCTGACCTATGGCGATTTCAGACGGCGGATCAGTGCCCATATTCGCGAACATGCTATTTCTTTCCTCAATCAGACGCTCTGTAAGTGTACTTAGATCTTTAGTCCCGCTTGCTCGAGGATATGGTGTCGATGCTTGCACGGGATCCACTCGCATTAGCCCGTAATTGCGAGTGGCCGGAGGTGAAAATGAAGCTTCTTGAATTCGAAAATTTCGTTTCCTGCTCTTATTTAATCTTTTTTCTAATTTAGCGGCTATTGTAGTAGAATCCATTGATGCACTGTTAACAATCTTTCCTTCATTATTCTCCATCTTTTTTTTTGTTCTTTGATTTTTTTTTTTTTAATTTTTTTTTATATTTTTTTTATTAAACAAAATCAAGTTGTGTGTTGGAATTGTTTTGAAAACTAAATTTTTTTGCTATGCCTACTTGACTCCCTTATTTTTTATTTTTTTATTTTTTTAAAGAACTCTGAGAACTCTTTAAAGGAGAAAATTCAACTTCTAATTCTAATTCAACTTTTGACACACTCCAAAAATATAAATTTCTGTAAAATTTATTGAAAGGACGTGCTTTATTAACATTAAGACATACAATGCTTCTTTAATATGAGAAATGGTAATCATAATTTTCTTTCCTGTTAGCTTAACAGCTTCAAACAGTTTCACTGAATATGTAGTGCATGATTGGAAAGCGATGGAGTTCTCTGTAACCGTTGCGCTGAGGCTTTCAGCATGGTAACTAGTTTCTTGGTTAGCTCGAAACTGGCGCCACCTGAATCATAGGCGGGTTTCATTAGGCCCTTTTTAATGAATCTTTTCATTTCTGCGGCTATTTTGTCTTCGTGGGTCTCTGTCAACCATAATGGCTGTATTGAATTTCCCATGAATACCTCGTTCATCTTTCTGCCGAATCGGGCTATTGTGAATTCGGCTGTTTGAAATATCCGCCGTTGATCCTCAAAACTCAAATGCTTTCTTGGTGGTATTTCTCTCGACTTTTCCCGGTAGATACTTTTGCGGGGAACGATAACGCAGACCGTTTTTGCCTTAGACCCGATCGTTTTATTCGCTGATTTCGGTCCAGCTATGGGCAGTTTAATGTGCCTTCCCTTTAAAATCGACTTCAATTCGGTAAATGACTCTTTCGGCTCTTCAAATGCATGTGCACTTGAGTTTAAGCTCGAAGCTAGAGATTTTGGTTTTGCGAGGTCCGTCTCACTACTTCCATATCCCTTCAATATGGATGTATATGGAGTGGAGGCTACGCTACCGCGTGTCCTTTGCATTCCATAACTGAAGGACGTTTCCCGGTGCACATTTAGATTAAATTTCTGTTTGTCCCGTATTAAATTTGATTGTCTTCCAGACTTCAATGAAGATTTTTTTATTGTGTGGGTCGACATCGTGCAACTGTTTGAAGCAAAGATGAATTACGGTGGTTCATCTAGTTTATCAGGTTGAATTTTCTAAATGTATTTTTAAGTGTTTTTTTGTATATTGTCTTATTTTTGTATTGTTGTTGTGTGTTGTTTGTTCCTATTGTGTTTGTAGAGTGTTTTATGTAGAATCTGTTGCATTCATTTTGTTTTGCTGGAGACGTGACACTGCTTTCAAAGCCTACGCAGCACTGCTTGAACTTTGAGCATTCACTACAAAAGCTAATTGCTACAGCACTCTATTCGCTTGTGCTCCTGCAGCGAGTTTAAATGATTTAAACGAAAACTATGAAAATCTAAATGGCATATATAAGAGATAAAACCAATCTTGGCTAGACTTTAAAAATAGGTCTTAGATTATGTTGGATATATAAAAAGGAAATGGGGTAACCAGATCTTCCCTTTTAAATAAAGAAAAATTAAAAAAAAAGAAAAATTAGAAATTGCTAAAAGTAAATATTCTGGCTTCATTTTTGATTTTTCGATTGCGTTTTATTACACGATTTATGAAAAATGATCATACTTCGACTTACGCAATTATTTATAAGTGTATCTATTTTGTTTTTGTTTACTTGTCTTGAAATTGCATTGGAAAAATAGCGAGGATGCCTTCTAACCGGAGAGTCGGCTCTCAGTTCGGAAACATCCTCGATATTTTTTAAATGAAATTTACGCTAGGTCACTTAATGAGGGGTTTAGATGGAATTGTGAGTAATGACGATTTCTTTTTGGCCAATTCCGCTATATCCTGCTTCGCAATACTTAACATTTTCTTATTTACATTTAAGATTTTCATTTGTGATGACGCCGAACTGCCCGAGAAGTGAAGTCGCTGAATATACAGCTCAATTAACTCGGTCGCCTCCAGGTCCTTGATTATTAGATTCGTATCAATCGTAACGCTCTTTGATTGCTTTGGCATTATTTGATCGCTCAACTTCTTGCCATATCTGGCTATTGTGAATTCGGCCTTACAGAGGGATTGTCGATGCTGCTTAAACTCAAATGACTCGTTGCTATTTCTCTGAATTATGCGTGGAGTCACTAGGGTGACCTTCTTCTTTACCATATCTGTGATAGTTTGCGGGTAGCGCCCTGCTAGTATAGATCGAACACTTCTTAATCTTGGCGCGCCTTCGCTATCGGTCGAACTGTTGTTCCTCGAGCTAAGTTCATCGATGCGTTTTTTGAGCACTTTAGGATTCATGGCCACAGCCTTGTTGGGATGCGGTGTGCCAAGCGATAAATGGCCCGTCAAACGCTGTTTGTCCGAATCTACGTTTAAGTTAGAGGTGTAATTCTTCACAGTACTTGTCTCACTGTTCACTTCATTGCCTTTTTGCACTAGAAGACGATCCGACAGCGTACGCATATTGACGCCATGGTATATTTTTGGATGTGGCGTCGAAGCGGTATTGGTCACACGAACTAGGCCATAGTCGCGGTTAGCCAACTGCACAGGCTCAATTGGCTGAAATGCGGTATTCTTTTTGTTATGTTTGCCTTTGACTGTGCTACGACGTCTGAGTGTGGCCATATGACTCATTATACAGGCGATGCAGGAAGCGGATGCAATGTCTGAGCGCAAGATGCGTGTATTTATGTTGTTTTTTTTTTTTTTTTTGTATTTTTCCCCTTTTTTGTAGTGTCTGTCTTAATGTTTATTGTAAGTGTTCTTTGTTGTGTACTGATGTATGTGGAACAATAATGAATTTCAAATTCCTAACGTTCGAAGTCGACACTGCTTGCACTGCCTACGCTGCTAAGCTTTTGTTCCGATTCAAAAGCTGCTTGCTACGAGTTTTGACATAATGGCTGCTGGCTGGCTGATTGTAAAGCTCCGCTCCACAGTTGGCACCGACTAAAAGCATTGCGAAAGCTTCTTCCTGCTAGTCGAAGCTTTTGCGTCTGCCTTGATTGGCTGGCAAACAGCTGTTAAGGATTTGTCTAAAACATTTCAAAACAAATCGTTCAGCGGGAAGGAACTGAACCGATGTAAGAGCTATCAACGCGCTTTAAAAAGTATTTGACCGTGAAAATCAAGATAATACAAACAAATATAGTTTGGTATAGCAGCAAAAGTTAAGCTAACCCAAAATAAATATAAATAATATATATAAAAAATACAAATAATTTTAAAAATATATATTTAAATTTAAAAACTAAATTACCTTAAATCAAAATGAAATATGTTAAAAATTAGTAAAAATTTCTTATTAAACATGTATAAAATATTTGAATCAAACTGTTAAATGATCATTAAAATTTATTAATAAATTAATTATTTAGAAGTAAATCTAAATTTTGAAATAAATTCAGTTAAAAATATTACTTTAAAAACTTGTGTTAATATAACTAAAATTAAAAAAAAAAAAAAACGATTTAAATTCATTTTTTAATTTTTATTAAAATCTGAAATTTGAAAACTTTTTCTTTTATGCGGCTTCGTTGGCTTTAAAATTAAATTTTGAAGTCCCATTCGCTGTTCACCGCAGCTGAAATAAAAACTATACTTTTCGTACCATTTAATGTTTACATAATAATAAATTGTTATACAAATAATAAGTGTGCCCCCATTAAAACTTATGTGCTCGCCCTCTGAGAGTATTTGTAAAGTGCTGAGTGACGTTGAGCACCAGCAGCGCGACAAGTGGAAATATACAATTTCTACGGTTTTTAATGAATTATGACATTTTGCAGGCGGGGCAACGTTGACGTTAGCTTTATCAGGCTGCTGCCTTTGCTTTTGCCTTTGCCTTCGCCAATTACAACGTGTTTCACATGAATACATACATATATACATATGTGCTCACAAATATATAACTGTATATATGTACATATGGTTCCTTCCCAAAGATTCGTTCACCATTTTACACCTGCCAGGGGCTGATTGTTGTCGCATGAAAGACAAGAAGCGGACGGCCACAATACGAGCGTCAAAATGGGTGAAAAGAAATTTTGCACTTAACGCGTTTTTTTTTTCTTTGCCTCTTTGGCTACAAAAACTGAAGTGTCTAAGGCTTGTCATATGGGTATATGTATATGTATATATATATATATTTTTTTTTTTTGCTGTTTCTGCTTTTCCGCATATTTGTTTAACAGGCTGGCTGCTTGTGTGCTGTGACTCCCATGAATTTCATTTTAAATGCTTTCTCACACACGTGGCATTCAGTCATTCATTCATTCAGGCATTCAACATAGACAGGACTAGCAAAGTCCTGGCTCAAGGCCTGCTTTTTTTCTTCTTCATCCTCTCGCTGGCTGAGTTGTTCGCCTCCAAATCCCTTGTTGCAAATAGGTGCTCTAATCCTGCGTGCTTTCTGGACATAGGCACACACAGACACACACACAGACACACACACACACACACATACATACGTATTGGGTTTGCTTTCACGGTTTATGTGTGCAACTTAAGCTTGGAAAACTTTCATAAATATGTATCTGTGTTACCTCCTTCGGCTTACAGAACTTACTACAGCTCGAGGCTTCTCTTTCAATTCCTCGCGCTAAGTATTTCAAGTGTTTCCCTGGCCTTTAAATATCTGTAACCGCTCCCTGTTGCCAATTCAATGTTACCATTGAGCACGTCAGGCATGACATAAAATACTTAAAAATAATATTTTTCAGTGCGCTGCATTCCTTAATGTCGACTGCGACGCATGTGCCTGGCGTCCGCTCTGCAAACAGGCGCTACATAGACGAAATTGTTGCACAATGGAGCTATGGCTTTAAGTGTTGACAATCGTATTGAAATACACTCCTGAAACTTGGCAATTGTGCTGCTCATTTCTGAGTTTTCTTGGCTTAAGCCGAGAACTTACAAAGTTTCTGCATTATACAGTGGTTATGTAAATTTTAAATGGGGTATAATATAGGTATTACTTTATGATTTTTATATAAGTTTTCATGGAAGAATAAATTAAGTGGAAATTATTGTTATATAATATGCAGAAATTTAAGAATTTATATATTTTATTATCATTAAGATATTATTATCATTAAGATTTTATTATCATAAAGATATAAATATCAGATATTGATTTGAAAGTCTTGTGGCTGTATAAGTCGTTATACCATCATATGTCATTATATTTTATTACCATCATATACCAACATATTCTAAAATTTATATAGACTAAAATATGTTCCAAGTAAATAATCAGGATTTTTTTTTTTTTGAAATTCCAGTAAGGCGAGATTTTAGTGCAAATTTGTTTTTATTTTTTTTATTTATATTGAATAAAATATAGTGCATAATATTTAAATGATATCACAACTATATAATTTCGAGACATTTATACAAATACAATAAATACAAATTTTTAGTGGCATATTTCTTGAAATCGCACCACTGTGCGGTCCTGCGAGTCAGCTACTTGAAAGTTTGCTTCGTTGAAATAGTTTTTCATTCACTCGGCGCTTTTTTCTATGCGCCTATGGACAGGCGCTCTAAAAAGACCAACTGAGTGGGCGGGGCAGTGTCGGCAAATATGGTCCAGTGGAGCAGGGGCAGCTTAGGGCCTATGCGAATGTTGGCCACGCTGACCGCAATCGGCCGGCTGCAGGCTGTTAATGAGTGAAAAGCGCTGCTTGAGACCGTGCAGAAAACATCTAATTATCGTGCACTCTTTAATGAAAATTTGGTTTTCGCATTTTCAATTGCAGACTACAACAGCGAGCCCAGCGGCGTGGGCGCTTTGGCCAGCAGCTTCGACAAGTCCGTTTTGCACATTTCCGACTGGCTGACTTGGGAACAAAACATGATCAAGATACAGAGCGTGCTGGTGAACGACGGCGACGCCGTTCGCCTGGCCATCGAGAAGCAGGAGGTAAGTTTCACTGAAAGGAGGCGGCTCAAAGCCTCATTCACTCACACTCGCTCCGCCTGCGTTTCGCTTTGTAGAAAGTTTTGCGTGAATTGAAAATGAAAAAGCCGCAACTCAATGAACTGGTCCACACGGCGGAGGTGCTGAAAGGCGACATCAAACGTCAGCAGCTGCAGGAAAAAGGTAAGCACTTAAATACGATTTAAATATATATATATATATATATATATGGGTTCTCAGGAAACAGCATTGTCCAGTCACACTTAAGGACGAAATATTGTATTCACATATATTTGAAAAATTTATTGATGGAAATTCGTCTTGTAAATTTGAGGAAAAGTTCAAAAGAACTTGAACGTTTAATTTATTCAGGATTTACGGGAATCCTTTTGGGCCCAACACATGCGAGCTTTTTCCAATTCATTGAGCAAATCGAGCCCATTTCATGGTGCACGGATATTTCATTAGGCCTCTCAGCTGCTGTCAGCTAAATGCCATTATGAATTGCATGCAGATTGTGCTACACCTAGGGATCTAACGAGATATGCACATTTTCCATTTCCCATAACGACTTTCGTGCAAACAAATTTCCGTTTTGTCAGACAGACAAAAACACACACACACTCGCACACACTCTCGGCCAGTGGAGGAGTTCAGCGAAAGCAGTAATGCGAGCGAGATCCACTTTAAATTCCAACCAACTCAAGCTGGCCCCAGCGCATGGAGCGGACATTGTGCTCGGCTTCAGTTGCAAAAATGTAAACGCCGGACATGTGCTCCTGGCGCTGGGCCACTCTGCACACTGCCTTTTTGTATATACAACTTTAGACTGTATTAAACAAAGAGATACCTCGTAGTGTGGACAGAGTGTAAACGGTTGGGGAGTTGGCATTTAAATGGAATTTAAACATTTTATCTTTGAGTTCCAGGACTAAAATTGAGGCTATGAGTGCTTAGATGACAATCAGAGCGGCACTTGAATCAGAGGTACAAAGGTACATTAGTAAACCTCCTCACCTGGGCTACTATATACTACATACTATTGTACAGCTGAATACTACATAATACTGTACTACTATTTACTATGAAGTACACCATATAGCATATCGTACTACTGTATACTAAGTACTATAGTACATTATACATTCTATATACTAAAGTAACCTGACAACTATAGTATACCTTTTGAATGCATCCATGCAGATGTCTAATACCTATATATTTTCCAATAAGTGCAAATATTACAGTAAAGGACAAATGGTCAATGTAATAGTTATGAAGAACGTTCAGAGATTCGGATTTGAAGACTGATCTTTTGGAAACAAATTTCCATAAACATTTTCTTTGTGAAACTTCAACTGCCTGAGTGTTCAGCTAAGGACTTTTAAGTCTTGAATTTTAAATTGAAAGCCTTATATGTTTCACATATTTAATCATTGATCGAGTTTGTAAACTTCTAAAATACCTTATATATATTGTTGTAACTGTTGTAAAAAATTAAATGCTTTAAAATCTTTTGGTAAGAAATGCATTGTTGCTAACTAATCGATGCCTGAGTCCTCTCGACTTTTCGTTTAGTTTTATTAATATAGTTTTAAATTTTAAGTCAATTACATTTATCTAAAATGTAAACTAAAACTCTCAGGTCTTTGGTGCAAAATACATTCAATAGTATTTTCACTTTATATACATATCAATTTTATTTACATTTAAAATAATTTTTACCCAAAGCTAAGCAAGAACGATTTTATATATATTCAAATTATCTCTCTTAAATTAACTTTGATTATTGTCAACAATTAAGTGCGCTTATTGCTCAGAGTTAGAGTTCGCCTGCTCTCATTTACATGCGTAAGAGATTTTAAGTGACTTCCGTGAATTTTGTCTAATAAGACCTCTTTCCGGTGGCTAAGAGGTATCGAAAGGCGACGAAGCCAACGCTGTCAAATGGCATTGAAAGACAATGGCAAAGTTCACAGCAAATACAAATACAAATACAAAGTAATGTAAACACACACACACACACACACATACAGTCATACACATACATACATACAGTGAGTGCATAAAATGGCTTGCAACATAAATTGGAATTGGTAAGTCATTAAAGCCGGCAGAGGTGAATATGCTTTACAGTTGCAGAGTCACTGGCAAAGAGCGAAATGTTGCCTCAAGAGAGTTCAACATTCACTGCATGCCAAGAGGCGCATGCTCACTTCTATGTGATATTTCTGCTGTTTTTTTTTTTCTTTTTGTGATTCGTTCATTTGACTCTCAGTGGAATTTTAATGTGGCAGCAGGCAGCTAAAATTTCTGCCAGTTGACATTTAATTGACATGCGGTGCGGCAGCAGGGCGGATGGTTAACATTTTTATGTCCCTCTTGGTTGTTGTTGCTAGTGCTGCTCCTGCTGCTGCTGCTGCTGCTCCCACTACTCCTGCTGCTGCTGCTGCTCTTACACAGTTTTGTATTTGATGTCATTGTTTGCCAACTCTGGGGGAATTGGCCTGCAGTTGGCTGCATTGCTTGTGTGCTCTTACATATTATTATGATGTTTGGTTTGTCATAAACATTTGTAGCTTGTCCTGCACGTACACAAGTGGAATCCCTGTTGCTGCTGCCCCCGTCCGCAGACGTCACTTGGGTCGCAACCTGCTTCTGCCACATGTCACCGATACTGATAGTTTTCTTTTTCCTTATTTTTTTCCCCTGATTTCTCGAGCATATTACGAACGTCACATGGCCAGTGGTGGGGGATAGATTCATTACTTCTGTTGCTTTTATTTTATTTCTTTTAGTTTTATTTTACTTCCAAGAAATAAGTTGCCTATGGCTTATTATATAACCATGGTGGGGTAATTGTTACCGGGAATATGTAATAATTTCAGCAGTTGTTAAAGGGGAAATGCTCTACTAATATTATATGTAGTTTTCAATCAGTCAAACAGTTTGATAACTCTGACAGGACATTATTTAGTAGAAGGTGTTAAGTATATATGGAGGTATAGGTATTTTAAACCAATTACTTTATGCTTTTATCTGCATATTTATTATATTTTTTACTATTTATTTTAGAGTTAGTTCGCTGAGTGAGTCTGTCTTAAGAAACCTTGCAAATTCTGCCCCCCATCTCATCAGAGGTTGACGAAATACAATCACAATTTTCATGTATAATTAATTTCAAACCTCTTGAGTCAATTGCTAAATTTCAACCACAAATGCGATTGCGGTACAATTAAGTTGTTCACCTGCCGAAATAATTGGCTTTGGCACACACATTGTGGGCAACTGGCTGAGGTTGGGCCAACTGATGGGATAGGCTGCCTGGCAGGCTGGCAGGCTGGCTGGCCGGGTCTGTCGCTTATCTGGAACCAAGCGAACTGTACACAAAATCAATTAATTACGCATTTTGTAAGCTGACGCTCAATTAAACCATTATTTATTATCTCGTATGGCTGGATGGCGTGCCAAGGGGTGCGGCCAGGCAAAAAGTTGTGCCAACCCGATCGACCCGGCTTTGTTATCGTTTATAGTGTGCCCAGGATGCGAAGGGTGCGGAGAGTGCGCCGAGGCATAGGCACAGCCGGGCAATGTGTGAGCGTTGCTCGTAAATCTGTCTTTGACATGCAATTTCAGTGCAGCGGCTGTTGCTGTTGTTGCTGTTGTTGTTGTTGCTGTTGCACTTGCTGCTCCTTCAGCCAGCCAGCAGAAGCAACAACTACGACAACAACAACAGCAGCAACAACAGTATATCAGCAATAACAATGCACAATGCTGCTAAAGGACAACGCACTCGCCCACTCCGGCGGATAATTGTGCCCAGTGTGTGGTGCCCGGCCCTGGGCTGAAGCCAGCAACCAAATTGCCTCTAATTGTCGTCTTTCTCTCAGCAATCTGCAACCTGCACCCGTTCTGGCCCAGCACCACGCCCACTTCACGCCATTATATGCTTTAATAGGCCTACTCCGACCGCCGCTGGCCTCGCTAGACCCCAGGAGACTCCCCTGGCCTGGCAGGCGCTTCCTGCCTTGTGTCTGCGCTTTCAAGAAGTTGTTGGCTTTTGATGCCCTCGCCGGGGGGATGGGCATTATGACTATCTGATGAGCCGTAAATAATTTAGCTAATGTTTATCATATTTGGCAACAGAGCGATACGTGAGCCGTTTTTATGAATTTCGGAATGAGTTTGCAGCAAATAGCAAAGATTAAAGCCGAGTTTGAATTGAAATTCTATTGAAATTAATGTCTTGACTGAAAAAAGAAAATATATTGCACACCGAAATTTTATTAAAAAAACGTATTGCATTAAAAAGAATATTTGAATTAAAATAAAAATAAAAAATAAATAAATTTAAATATATCAAAAATAATAAATAAAAAAAATAAAAACAATTTTGGCAAATAATGCAACATTTTAATGAGGTTTAAATATAAAAATTTAACAATATGAAAAAAAAAATAAATAAATAAAAAATATAAAAAAAAAAAATAATTTAAAAAATTAAAAAATAAAATTACATTACAAATATAAAGAATAAACATATTAATGAGGTTAAAAATAAGAATTTAACAATATGAAAAATAAATAAAAAAATAGATAAAAAATATATAAAAAATATTTTAAAAAATTAAAAAATAAAATTACATTAAATATAGTGAATAAATAAATAAAATAAATAAAATAATCTAAAAATAAAATTACATAAACAATATAAATAATAAAAAAATGTCGGGAAAAATAATCTAAAAATAAATTTACATAAACAATATAAATCATAAAAAAATGTTAACAGACAATTATAATTAGACATTAATAATTAGCCTTAAAATATATAAATTAAACAAAAAATAAAAATTAGAACAAAAATAATCCAAACATTTTAATGCGTTTTCAATATGTTTAAATTTATTTTTATTTTTTTTTTTTAAGTGTTTTAATTATGTGTAGACCTATAATTTCTATGAAATATTGATAAAAGCTCAACAGATTTTTATCGATGAATCTGCCCTTAGTTTCATTTCCCTTTACAATCACATATATGTAAATACTTCAATCTATTTCATAGACTCAACTTTTAAAGTGTATTTGGAATTCGTTGTTGGGGCTTAAAAGCGTTTCTGTTTTTAATTACTTAAAAGCGACGTCTTCATGACTGCTTAACCTCAGACCTTTGACCAGGGGCAATTGGGGGCTATGACTTGGGCTTCTGCTTTGGCTCTGGCTCTGGCTTTGGCTCTGGCTTTGTGCAACTTGAGCACTTAACGCTTCTGCCGCAATTTTGAAAGCAACATTAAATTAAATAATTGTGCTAGCAGGCTGTAGACAGGCCAAGGCTTGGCTTTCAGTCGCCAAGCTATGCGCCAGATAGTTTTCGCACAACATTTTTCCGCATGAAAGTTATGTGCAAAATGTTTGTGAATATTACAGGTTACAGCGTATGCTTGCTTGCTGCTAACTTGGCCAACATGGTCCTTTAGTCCTTGGCTGCCTTCAACTGGAGCCTCGTTAATCCGCTGGGTTTTAGTCCGGAATCTCCTCTCACTGATTACGCAAATTGTCCTGTTGTTAGCGCAGTACGTGACTGCCATGTGTGTGAGTGGATTTAGTGCTCTGCTCAAGTGCTCCTACGATTTCATGAGCTTAGCTAAAATGAATTTTAATTTATATTCAGTCGAAATTATGCACAGACAGTTTATAATATGAAATAGTTTTGGCTGTTATTTTTTGTTGTTTTATTTTTTATTTTAGTTGAAGACTTTTAGATTGTTATTGTCTTTTTGATTATTATCAATTTTAGAAAACTCTTTCAGTTCTCAGCTCAACTACTCTTGGAATCTAGTTTCGGTTTCAAATATATTGAAATTTTCATAGTTTAGTTTTAAAAAGTTATTAGAATTCTCTACGATATAATAAATTCCCCCACAGCTCTTAAATTTCTTGCCCAATTTAAGGCTGCACAATTTCAGTCAAATAAATCTGCTCCTTTATTTACAGCTCAGGCAATTGCCGCTTTGCCATTGAGGTGTATTTTAATTTATATTTTCTTATGCAGAAAACGCGCTTCATATTCCTCACAGAGAATGAGAGAGCGTGAGAGAGAGAGAGGGGGAAAGGGAATGCCTGGTATTCCTTTTTCAGTCATTAAAACCGCTGCACTCGACTCAACTTTCAGAAATTCTGACGTTATTACCACCCTCGAAGCTGGTTGAAAAAGGGGGACACAGAGGGCGTGAGTCTAAAAGCAAATATCTACGATGCCACGACAAACAACAACCACACACACACACACACACATATATATATATACATGTATATATATATAAATATATTTAGACACACACAGAGAATTCCGTCAATGGCCTCGGCACGCTTGTTGTGTGTGCAACCCTGTGCAAAGCTGATGTTAAAGTTTCTTATCAGTTATCAAGGTTCGCGGCAGACACGCACAACATGTGGCAGGAAGGCTGGCGGGCGCTGCTTGAATTCCGGCTGCTCCCGGCTATGGAGCACCCACTGCGCATGACATTCACAAGCAAAACAAACTGCCGGAATGCCGGCCGAAAGAGAGCGAAACAACAGAGAAATGCCAAACAGCATGGCGAAGCGAAAGAGAACCGAATGGAATACAGAGAGATGAGAGACTGTGTGAGTGAGAGTCGCCAGGTGGGTGGTTGTTTGTCTTTCTGTTGAGGTGTGTGTGCGTGTATGTGTGTGGGGGCGACCGTGCCGGAGTTGTGTTTATGCTGGGGTTGCTGCTGCGCCCCAGCTAACGTGCTTTTCCATCTTTGTTTACCCGCCTTTTGGGGGTTGCTGGTACCGCCCGCCAGAGAGCGCCACCGTGAGCGTGAGCGTGAGCGTGAGCGTATCGAAAGCGTAGTAAAAACAGTTCCGTGTTGAAAACGCTGCGCTCTTTGTTCACGGCCAGTTGGGACTCTGAGGGCAGTCGGCCCAGGACATTCGTGGGCTTTGACTGCGTACAAACGGTTGTGAATCTCGACTCGTAGCCATTGCAGCTATCTTTTCTTATGGACTCGAGCCGTCTCAGCCCGCCTCTGTCCACTGTTGTCTCGTGACGTCGCGACGCGTGAAAATTCTTGCTCAAAAACTGTAAATTTTAAATAACACAGATAAAAGAAGAAGCGAGAAACTCGTTTTTTAAGCCAAATTAATTGCATTCAATTAGCAGAGCAGCTCGCCTGCGCAAGTGTGCGTGTGTGTGCTAGTAGCTATATATATTTACGTGTGTGTGTGTGTGTGCGCTTTATATATGCTTGAGTGCTAAGAAAAGTCAAGCCACAAAATCGGCATTTAAAGTTTCTGTCTGCATTGGATTATTGCCCAGCCCTGTCTGTTACCCCACACAAACACACACACACACACACACACACCCTGCAGGCGGTGTAGTAGTGCCCTTGTTGCTGCTGTTGTTGTTGTTGTAGTTTGTGTTGCCAATTTTGTTGCCGCTACTTTTGTAAATCAATAAACGTGAGGGTGGCAAAAGCCGCAAATATTGCTGAACGCCGTGCTACACAACGCATTCAGATAAAAGTGTCATTGTCATAGTTAAAGCTAAAAAAATTGAAGAGAGAATGCAAATAATGTGGAAATGCAAGTGGGATCTGTGAATATAATCAATTGGATTTATTTGTCGTGCAATCGAAACAATTACAAATTCATTCAAGTATTTGCCAAACAATTTAATCGCATTATCACAATTAAGCAGAAAGTGTTAAAAAACAAATGCAACAACGGAATAATTCTATATAAATAAATGAACGAATATATTGTATAATTTAAATGAAATATAAATTTTCAATTCAGTAACTAATGGTCAGGAAAATATTAAAAAAAAAATTAAAAAATATAATTATAAATAAAATATAATTGACATAAATTTAATATTAATATAGGGCTTATTTCATAACATATTTATTACTCTGCTTTCATTATTTTTGTTTTTAACTACAAGAATGTTTAATATTAAAAATGTTGTTTAATTAATCATTCATTAATACTTGAACAAATGCAGCTGACAATAATTTTGAATATTGAAAAATTATTTACTTTAGTATATATTCATTTAGTATTCATAAATTGTTGCTTATTCGACACTGCAGAAAATTATTGATTGTTTTTTTTGTTTTTTTTTTTTTGTTTTTTGTTTTTTGTTTTTTATTGTATTTATTTTTATTGCATTTATCTATTAATTTATGTTTGAGCTAAAAATGCTCCAAGCACCGTCAGTCTGGTAGTGGCTCTGATGCTGGTCTATCCTCATGAAGAGCTGCATCACACTTTGGAGTATGTAGCTAGATAGCTTCAACCTTCAAGGTGGAGCCTTTGAATATGCTCTAACTGGGCATTGCCCTTTGTGTTCCTGCATCCTGTTTTCTTTGTCTAGTTTAGGTACATTTAATTAGCTAAGAACAGTTGTTATTTGTGTCTCATAAGACGTTTCATCGTCTTTTGTTTTGCTTCATTATAATGCTTCAAATATTAAGGCTTTATTTTCCTT